CTCAGTAATAGAGCATTTGCACAGCACGTATGAGGCCCTGGGTTTGATCATCAGCCCCCCCCCCAAAAAAAAAAGTAAAAAAGGGATTCATTTCAATAAAAATCCTTTAAAGAAAAGTACGACAACAGGGCTGGAGATGTGGCTCAAGCGGTAGCGCGCTCGCCTGGCATGCGTGCGGCCCGGGTTCGATCCTCAGCACCACATACCAACAAAGAAGTTGTGTCTGCCGAGAACTAAAAAATAAATATTAAAAATTCTCTCTCTCTATCCTCTCTCACTCTCTCTTTAAAAAAAAAAAAAAAAGAAAGAAAGAAAAGTACGACAACAAAAAAGTGGTGAGCAAAGGGTCAAAGGAACTTAGTCTACTCAAAGTCCACTTCCCTGCCACAGTCAGCTTTACAGAATTTCCTTTTGTTCCTTCCTCTTTAAAGTAATTTCCATGTTCCCTCAGTAGCCAACCACAAGTTTCATGACATAGCCAATTATTCTTACTCTTTGGTATATTCTGTCTTCAGTTTTATCCTGTTTCCAGGGGAGGAGCAGAGTCAAGTTAGGCCGAGAAGGGAATCCACTGCCTCTGCTGTTGTTACCAATCAAAAGCAAACTCTGTAGACTTCCCCTGTGGCTCTGAGACAAAGGAAAATAGTGGTGACAGGAAAAAATTGACAGAGGACATCCCTTCCAGCTGTTCCTAATGCATCATAGAATTACAGGTTGTCTTGGCACATTTAGTGAAATTGTTTTAGATACAGATATTTTGGTTTTGGTGCTTGTGTGAGGTATGCTTGATGTGCTGGGGCTATAGCTCACTGGTAGAGCACTTGCCTAGCACATGTGAGACACTGGGTTCCATCCTCAGCATCACATAAATAAATAGTTATTTTTTTAAAAAAGAAAGTATATGCTTATAAAGTGCTATTGATATAATAGTGATTGTATTTCAGATTCTTTGACTTAAAATATATATATATAAAGATATCAAAAATGTTTTAAAGTCTCCTGTGGTAGAAAACAACATATTATAGTAGTGTGACAAATGTTTCTTTTTTTTTTTTTTAAAGAGAGAGTGAGAGAGAGATGGGGACAGAGAGAGAGAGAGAGAGAATTTTAATATTTATTTATTTATTTTTCTTAGTTCTCGGCGGACACAACATCTTCGTTTGTATGTGGTGCTGAGGATCGAACCCGGGCCGCACGCACACTAGGCAAGCGCTCTACCGCTTGAGCCACATCCCCAGCCCCAAATGTTTCTGTTTAAGAGGTTCAGTATCCGAAATGTGATTACTTATAAATAGAGCATAAATTTTAGAAGTTATCACCTAGCTTGACTCAGATTCTTCCCTGTCAGGATGAAGCCCCTAACCAGTAGGACATGTGCCCTGCCTCACTGGACACCATGGCTCATGCCTGTAATCCCAGCTACTTGGGAAGCTGAGTCAGGAGGATCAGATGCAAATTCAAGGACTTCTTAGTGACTCAAAATAAAAAATAGAAAGGGCTGGGAATGTAGCTCCGTGGTAGAGCACTTGTCTAACATGGATAGGAGTCTGGGTTCCATCTCCAGTACTGAGGGAGGAAAAAAGAAAAAAAGAAATTTTTTTTTTTTTGCCTTAATTCAAACATGAATTACAGGGCTGGGGATATATGTGGCTCAGTGGTAGAGCACTTGCCAGTCTCCAGTACCATAAAAACTAACAAATATGAATTACATGAAAAATCCTTCTTAAGAAAAAATCCATGTACTCTAAGGGATGGTAATATAGCTCAGTTGGTAGAGTCCTTGCCTCGCATGCACAGGGCCCTGGGTTCAATCCCCAGCACCAAAAAAAAAAAAAAAAGTCATAAAAAATTAATATTGACTAGCCTTATATAGATTATCCAAATCTAAGTTGTAAGCAGTTTCTCCTTTATTTGTCCTTCTTCTCCATAATTCCTCCCCCCCAAAATAAAGATTTTTCTAACAGACTTTGGTACCTTATAAAGTTACTGATCAAAATGACCAGACTAATGTCAATAACTCTCAGCCAGAGACTCCCCTGCTTTATTTATCAACTCAAGGAGAGGAAATATCTACATCCTTAAGAAGCCCATAATCAAATTAGGGAGATAATAACTAACACTCAAAACACCCACTAAGAGCAAGCACTACAAGAGTTCAGAATAAAGGGAAGACTAAGGAGGAGAAGGTACCAAAGAATCAGACAGAGGAAGACAAGCAGGAGCCATTTGCAAGTGGAAGCTAATTTTTAAATGTTGATTAGTTCAGATGAAGGATTCTTGTGTCTCTTTTAGCCAGGAGGTACAAATGTATGTTAATTCTGCCCCTTTTATTCAAAGAAGCCACACACCTCTGCCTTTAGTGAACTGAAACCAGGTGACTAAGGAGTTGATGCAGAGAGTAACCTGATCAAATTAACAGATCCTGCCAGAATCCATCTCTGCAAGAAGTTATGTATGTTAGAGTAAAGAGGAACCCAGCCCCAGTCAACACTAAAAAGAAACTTTCTGGTAGAACAAAGAAATTCAAGGAGACAATGATATGAAAAATTAGGTCTGTCCTCTGGTTAATAATTAAGAAGTGATTTTAGGACTGGGGTTGTGGCTCAGTGGTAGAGCGCTCACCTAATACATGCGAGGCCCCGGGTTCAATTCTCAAAACCACATAAAAATAAATAAAATGAAAGTATTGTGTCCAACTACAACTAAAAATAAATATTAAAAAAAGAAGTGATTTTAAATCCAAGTTATTTATGTCTTTATAACATTTTAAAGCAGTATAATAGATTATATGCCATGAAAACTCAGTCCCTCTAGCCAAAAAAGAAATTTTTCTTAGGTTTAAAAGCCTCTTTTTTGGGGCTGGGATTGTGGCTCAGCAGTAAGTAGAGTGCTCGCCTAGCATGGGCGGGACCCAGGTTCAATCCTTAGCACCACATAAAAATAAAGGCATTGTGTTATGTCCATCTACACAAAAATAAATAAATTTTTAAAAAATGCCTCTTTTTGTTGTTGTTGTTTAATCTGAAAAAGGGCCTGGCATGATGGCACAGACCTGTAATCCCACCTAGCTCCGTGGTTGAGCACTTGTCTAACATGGATAGGATTCTGGGTTCCATCTCCAGTACTGAGAGATGGAAGACTGAGGCAAGTGTAAGCCCAACAGGGGCAACTGAGACCCTGCCTAAAAATTTTTTTTTAAAGGACTAGGGATGTTGCTCAGTGGTAGAATGTTTGCCTGCCATGCACAAGGACCTGGGTTTGATCTCCAGCTCCGGGTAACAAATAAATAAATATTTTTAAATTATTTTTAAAATAAAGGGTCGGCCATTGTGGTACATGCCTGTAATCCCAGTCGCTCGGGAGGCTGTGGCAGGAGGATCACAAATTCAAAGCCAGCCTCAGCAATGGCGAGGTACTAAGCAACTCAATGAGACCCGGTCTCCAAATAAAATACAAAATAAACCTGGGGGTTTAGCTCAGTGTCCAAGTACCCCTGAGTTCAATCCCCAGTACCCCCCAAAATTACATAAAGAAATAAATTATATATTAAAAAAATAGGGAGTCTTTGCAGATGTTATGTAGAGGATAAGACAGTGACAGTGCCATTGATATCACTCTGCCATTGATGATTGACTCTGTTGTTGCAGTTTGCAGGTTTGGTCAGAAAAGGAAGAAGTAGACTTAATATAAAGGCTTCTGGACTTTTTTATTACAATAGACTTTCCCTACTTTTTCTAGATTATAAAAAGGATCTCCCCAAGATTCCTGAGGCTTTTTTCTGGTTCTTTCTTTTTTCTTAATCTTTGACCTATCTGAAATACATTTTAGTGGACAGAGGTAGAGATTTAATTTTTCTAGATGTCAGTCCTTGATCCCAATGGTATTCAACAGTCCATCTTTATGCCAGTGATTTAAAATGGCCCCACTGACATATGCTAAATTCCATATGATTTATTTTTCTAGGTAAACTTTATATTCTTTTCCATTGATCTGTCTAGTCATATCCAACCCTGTATACACTACTCTATTCCAATTACTATTCATTTGTAAGTTTTACTGTCTGAAAGGTTATTCTTTTTTTTTTAAGAGAGAGAGAAAATTTTAATATTTATTTTTTAGTTTTCGGCAGACACAACATCTTTGTTTGTATGTGGTGCTGAGGATCGAACCCGGCCTGCACACATGCCAGGCAAGCACGTTACCACTTGAGCCACATCCCCAGCCCTGAAAGGTTATTCTTAGTGTTGTTCTTTTCAGGATTTTCCTGGTGATTCTCATACTTCCCATAACTTTAGAATCAGCTTATCCATTTGTTTTTATCTTATAAGTTATAGGTACTCTACTAATTTACAGATTAATATGGAATATTACATCTTTCTCACATTAAGATTTTTTTTGTGTGGGGGGGAGTACTGGGGGTTGAACTTATGGGCACTCAACCACTGAACCACATCCCTAGCCCTATTTTGTATTTTACTTAGACACAGGGTCTCACCAAGTCACCAAGGACCTTGCTAATTTGCTGAGGCTGGCTTTGAACTCAAGATCCTCCTGTCTCAGCCTCCAGAGCTACTGGGAATACAGGCATGCTCTATCACACTCGGCCTCGTATTAAGTTTTTTGATCTGAAAATAGGATGTTTCCACATAAAGATTTCTTTGGGGAGATGGGGATATAGTTCCGTGGTAGAATGCTTGTCTAGCATGCATGAGGTTGTGGGTTCAATTCCCAGCACTTAAAAAAAAAAAAAAAAAGGTGGGGGAAAGAATATTTCTTTTGTATTTCTCAATAGCATTTAACATTTTGTGAATAAGTTGTTCATTAAGAATAAAACACAGGGGCTGGGGTTGTGACTCAGTGGTAGAGTGCTCATCTAGTATGTGTGAGGCACTGGTTCAATCCTCAGCACCACATAAAAATAAATAAAAATAAAATAAAGCTATTGTGTCCATCTACAATTAAAAAAACATTTTGGAAAAAAAAAAAGAACAAAACACAGACTGGGGGTATAGGTTCAAGGTAGAGCACTTGCCTAGCATGTATAAGGTCCTGAGTTTGATCCCTAGCATTGGAAAAAAGAAAAACAGTAATTTTTAAAGTTGCCATAGAAATGTCTTAGTAAGTTCAAGATGCTGTAACAAAGTGCCTCTGGGCGGCTTATTGTATACAACAGAAACTTAACAGCTTCACAGTTCTAGAGGCTGGAAGTGTGAGACAGAGTGCCACATGGTCAGGTTCTGGTGAAGCCATCTTCCAGGGTGCAGTCTGCCCTCTTCTCTTGGTATCCTGGCAGTGGAAAGGGAGGGAGAGAGCCGTCTACCCTCATGACCTAGTCATTTCCCAAAGTCCCCATCTTCTAACACCATCACATTGAGGGTCAGGATTTCAATATTTGAATTGAAGAGGGACGAAAATATTTAATCCATTGCAAGAAATAAAGGCAAATTTCAGTCTTTGGAGGAAAGGATAAGAATGACATAGCAGAGCAAGAAGAACCTTGTTGTTTTATCATTGCTTTATTTCTCATCACAGGGAGGAGAAGGGTAAGGGACCGCAAGAGACTTGGGCTTCAATCTGACCATTATTTGTAGTTCCTGGTCCACAACTTCTACCTTCGCAACTTTGGCCAAGGCACTTGACCATTCTCTGTGAAGTCTCATCAAACAATGAGAAATTTTCTTAGGATCAAAGGTATTCTTCTACAAAAAAAAAAGACAAAAGACATTCTCTTCTCTCAAAAGAGATGTGATGTATTCGAGAAATTTTCTTAGGATGATATGGCTGGCTTTGCCCTGGAACTGGTACCTCTGGGACAATTGCTGTGTTGTTGGTCCTACCATTTGCTTTTGTCATGATTGCCTCCACAGGGGTGCTCTAGGGTAAGAAAATCTTCTTTCTGTGTCTTCAATCAGTTTTTTCCTCAATCAGCTTGGCCTTATAGTTATCATAACAATTGAATAGATCCCCAAAGACAACTCAAGTCTTTTGATTTTGCTGTCTCCTCCTGCGAAAGGTTTCCAAACCTACCTGAGAGCACAGGCTTTTCCCTGTGCCCCAGTGACAGTGGGGGTGGGAAGGAGCGTCAAGCAAGAAGGGAGACTAGAGATGTTAGAGCCACAAAGAACTTAAAATGCAAATTAAGAAAATAGGACTTGGGGCTGGGGTTGTGGCTCAGAGGTAGAGCGCTCACCCAGCATGCGTGAGGCACTGGGTTCAATTCTCAGCACCAAATAAAAATATTGTGTCC